ACAATACATTTGGCCCCTTGCCAAGAACGTAGCGTGTCAACTGAGCGAAGCTGTCACCATGGAGACTGTTGCTATATAGAAGTCGCCATATTGACTGATGCTCTCTGGGAAGGTGGTAGTTTATATAACTGATTGATAATGTATCTAATATTGTGGTAGTTTTATTCCAATCTACATAAGATGCTGCTGGCATGAATGACTGTATTATATTATGTGCACTGTCTTTCTGAAATGACAATTTGCAACATAACATTAAAGACATCAAAGGACTTAAAGGTTCTAAGAATCACAATTAGAATAGTCCACTGAAGTGCCATGAAGATATGAAAATTTAATGTACATCAATGCAAATTTAGTTTTAAAGTTTTAAGTGACTAACTTACCTAAAGTCAAAGATTTAGAACTAAATATATGATTCAATATAAATGCAAGATTTATGAATAAATATTTCTGTTAATCAAATCTTACTATGCATTTTAGTCCTAGTTTTATCTTTTAATTAGCTTGAAGAAGTTTTCTTTATCTATTATTTTAAACAGATCTATTGTATCATGTTTGCTGCCACACAAATGTCTATCACTGTGGGGTTTGACAAGAACAGAAGAAATATATATAAAACATCTACTTTACCGATATCACAGGAAACAGATGATAAAAGACTCTGTCAAAAATCTTCAGGAACATATGACACTTTGATAGCCAGTCTTCAACTTCATCTTGGCTCTTGTATCCTCCTCCAACATCAATTTCATTCTGGCTATTCTCTTCTACTCCCCTGTCAATGTCACAGAATTTGTTCAGTGCAAGGAATGAAATAGAAAGTCTAGAAACATCTTCTGATGATACTTGAGATTTCCATGTTTTACAAGGGGCGTCACTCTTACTAATGTGGAGATAACTTTTGATAACATTGTTCACTGTCTGAAATGAAAAACAATTCATTTTACACAAAAAGTTCCCATTTATGTCTCACTGCTGTATTTTTAAAAGAATATAGCAGAGAGTGGCCATCACATTTTTCTTAAACAATTTTTTTACCATTACACATGTGTACATGTGCATATCAAACTGATTGGTAAAATGATCCAATCAGAAAAGGAAATATATCCTTAACTGTAAAGTTAATCCCTTAAAGAAAGAAGAAGTAGATATTGTAATTATGATGGCAAATAATCTGAGAGTTTTATTAAGACTTGATTAAGACTATTATTTCTAATAATTTGCAACCAAAGATTTGTTTCCTTCGATACAATATTAAACCTGTATTTCAATGCCTTAAAATATTGATCAAACGTAAACACAGTTGCAATATTGTCTACAGAATAAATCTGAATAATTTAAATAAAAATAGAACCATCCTATAAAAAACCCCAATAAATTCTTCTTTGATGTGTTCTTTTTTTGAAAAAACAAACATATGTATGACACTTTTACCTTTTACTTTATGCCTACTGTAAAAAACAATGCTTATACATTACCTGATACAATTTTCTCACTGGAACAAAGCCATCATCCCGCCCACTCAACAGGCAGACAACGTCTGCTTTTTCAGAGTATGTACCCTTTAGACATTGAGCTAGGAACCCGGCAAACTGTACTTCTGTTACATGCTTGTCTTGAACTTGTCCTTTATTTATACCACAATGACAGACAGCATGGAACACATCTAAGTCGAGATTTAAGAACTTTTCTATATGTTTCTGAAAACAGACAAATGTCATACTAATTAACATTAAGTAGAAGTGACATAATAAAAAAACAATTAAAGAATATATATATATAATTCTATGAAATTTTCAGTGTCAGTTCTAATTGTCAGTTCTAAAGTCAATGATAATAGGCGGGATATTCCGATAACGGAACTATCACAACTTTTCGGATTGATAATAATCGTTGAGTGTTTCAAGTGAAAATGTAAGTGGACTGCATGAAACACTGAATGACACCTTTACAACTGAACTCTGAACAATTTTCTTTAACTGATTTTCCTGTTCATACATATAGGCTTTGCCATTGGGGGATAAATCTCCAACTAATATGCTGGCAATTTAATCATCAAACAGTAGTTTGGGTACTTGTATGATATTATCATTTTTTCATATTTATAATCTGGATCATAATACAATGGGAAACGCAAATGATTTTTATCGCGGTGTTATCTTATTCTATCAGGCGCACTCACTCCCGTTTTTGTTTAGTTGATACACAGGCGCTTGAAATTCTATCAACAATCGCTCTAAAGTCTAATTAAAAAAAATCCATACCCATAAATGGCTATAGTGTTTTTTATAGGGTTTGCCTAAAATACGAAAGTGAGATTTTTGACGAAAGTGAGCGAAAGTGACTTTTAGAATTTGAATTGTACCTTTTTAATAGAATTTTACAGTAAAATTGTTGTTTGTAGACGTATATTATTAGCAACTAATTATATAATATATTATAATACATAACCATAATCATGATTTAATCGCCATTTATTGGCCTAATTTCTATATACAAGTTCAGCTTGCATAGAAAAATACGAAAGTGACTTGTAAGTATTAAATATAGAGATTAAATTGAAAATGTACTAAATGGCAGTTTGTGTATTAGAAAAATATTATTTATTTTCTAAATTAATTATTATGATGATTTATAGTTTTATGTACCATTTATTTTTGCATAATTTGCATAATCTTCCTTTCGCTTACATTGAAAAATACGAAAGTGACTTGTAAAATATCAAATATAGAGTTTGAATTGAAATATGTCCTTAAATTGCAGTTTGTAAACGTATATTTTCAATATTTTCAGAAATAAATAATTTGATATTCAACACTATATTTTCAGTTAAACTCTATATTTGATATTTTAGAGGTCACTTTCGCGAAAGGAAGATTGTTGAACTTGTATATATTGAAATTATGTAGAAAAAATGGGGTAAAAATCATCATAATGATTATTTTTGAAAATAAATAGTATTAATTTTGGATATTATACGCCTGAAAAATGCAATTTATGTATAACTTTCAATTCAATGCTTTATTTCATATTTTACAAGTCACTTTCGTATTCTTCAATGTGAGCGCAAGGAAGATCTCAGAACTTGTGCATAGAAATTATTCAAACAAATGGTGATTAAATCATCATAGTGATTATTATTGAAAATAGATATTATATATTTCTGATAATATACGTCTGCAAACTGCAATTTTAGTATAAATTTCAATTTAAACTCTATAATTAATATTTTACATGTCACTTACGTATTTCTCAAAGTGAGCGAAAGGAAGAACTTAGAACTTGTGTATAGAAATTGTGCAAATAAATGGCGATTAAATCATCATAGGGATTATTTTTTTAAAAGAAATATTATTAGTTGTTAATGATATACGTCTACAAACAGAAAATTCACTGTGATATTCTATTAAAACGGTACAATTCAAATTTTAAAAGTCACTTTCGCTCACTTTCGCCAAAAATCTCACTTTCGTATTTTAGGCATACCGTTTTTTACATATAGGAATGGATTTCTTTTTTTTATTAGCTACTGATGAATTTTCATACCTTTAGAAATGGTTCTGTGATTGACTGATTTGGAGAAATGTGTTGAAATAATTTATGAATATTCTGCCTTTCTTCCACACCGAAAAGTTGTAAAATTTCAGCTTCTTTCTTTTTACTTTCTGCACCTCCCATGATTTTGACAGATCGATCAGCTGCTGATTGATCACTTCTTCATCGAATAAGCGTTTGTTTATTTAAGAGTGAATAAACGCTTGTTTTTTTATCGGTGTTAAAGTCATTTACATCTAATGTAATTTATCCGGCAATGTGTTGAAAGTAAAATTGCAAAATACTGAAATTATAAGAGGTAACAGTTCATTTTGATGATATTCAGATATACTATGATTTAATTCACTTGATTTAAGTGAAAATAAATATTACAAGAATTATTGAAAAAGCTTATTATTTGTAAAGCAATGTATTTTCGCGATATATATAATTCACACACAGGCCATCATATTGGTTTCAGGCTGTTTCCAATGTCATTTATTTCACACTTGACATTATTATCACAAAAATTCTGTTCTAAAAATCTTTATTTGCTAAATTTAGGTTAGTCGAACTAATTGGACTTGTGAAACTGAAAGAGACATCGAGATAATTTTTGCGCGGTGATGTATTTTTCCATGGCAAAACAGTTTGACAACAAGCAAAAAAAAAAAAAAAATAAAAAAAAAAAGCAACCAGTAAAATGAGTCAAACCTTAAATGCCGAATAACCAAGTCTGCATTTATGTATATTTTTTCTGAGGCCTCCAAAATTTTACGAAAGCATTAAATGCCTTTCTTCACTTCACAATGTTTTTCTTTTAAATACATTTTCAAAACTTCATGAATATAATATGAAATTAGACAAAGCCTATGAACGGGGAAGTCGCTTAAAAAAAATTGTTAATTTTTCCGTTTCAAAGGTGACATTCTGTATTTTATCACTGCTTCCGTTGTCAATCGGAATACTCAACAAGTATTATTAATCCAAAAAGCTGTGATTGTTCATTATTGGAATACCCTGCCTATTATCATTGAGTTACATTGAAAGTGGCGGTGCCAGACTAGAACTGACACTGAAAATTTCATTGATAGGTACAGAATTCAATATAATCTTTGTTTTTTATTTAATTTTCTTTTAAATATACATGTGTAGTCTATAGCCGGACAAGGAAAAGCCGGGCCGACTTCGCAGTCCCGGTCTTTGACTTTCTCGTATTATTAACATGAATCCAAAACATGCTGCATTACACAACTGAACTTGCAAGGACTTTTATCCAAATTCTGATAATATAGTTTAAGTCCAGGGATCATTCTAGGGGGCGATTTCCGCGATTTCTCGCAAAAATATCACCAAAATCTCAGAGAAATTTGTGAAATGAGAGAAAATCTCGCACGGCAATTTGAGCCGGAAAATGTCTAAACACAATCTAAGGAATGCTAAAATTACACAAAAATATGATGAAAAATTCACGATTCCCATCAAGAATTTAATTTCAAATTGTTAATTAATGAAATCGGTGTAAAAAACTCCAAAAAGTAGTCCAACACTTTGAATTATTTAGCCTAAAATAATTGCCGATCGGAGACCGCAAATTCACCGTACAGAAATACTGTATAATGGCTAACCTTTATCTATCTGTAAGTCGAGAATTTACACAAAACACTTTTAATTGATTTTAATAAAACATTTTAGACACAGACTAACATAAAAATGGACATGTCAAAAAAAAATCTACCGGTAAAATTTGTCTTCTAAATGTCACATCAACCACGGTAAATTTTGCCGTAAAGGACAATTTTAAAAATTTTGTTTTACGATTCCTGATGAAATAGCCGATAATAAATGTTCTTTTATTGAACAAAAATATTTAATTTTATATAATTGCAATCAGCAACAGCTAGAATTGTGAATGTTTCAGCGGAAGACAGACAAATATTCATTTGTCACATATTTTCGCGATGTCGTGATTAAAAAAAATACTAAAAGGAAGCCGAGTGTTATTTAAAGGTGTTTTATAACACTAAAAATGATGTTTATGAATAAAAATTACTTTAGTTATTGTTTATATTTGTGGATATGGAGATATTTGTCATTATGTGTTCAGGTATATTTTTTAATGGAGGGAGGTGTGTGAAGAGAATCATAAAGAAAACAAAATGAAAGGTTATAAAAATATTCTTCAAATCTCAACAATCACTTCTGTACAGTACAGTGTTGTCCATTAGGAACATTGACTTCAAATAATAGTTGTAGTAGATATCCATGTATAATTCTTTTATATTTCAGAATAAAGGTGTTATATTTATTTTTCACAATTAGAATTTTATTATGTTTAAAAAAATCACAAAAGAAAAGGCATAGGATGTGTTAAAAAAGTAAAACCAAAATCACTGTAATAAACAGAGCTACATCTTCTTATATCCTCATTAGATAAACAATGTTTATATGTACAGTGATTTTTAAAAAGTTAGAAATTTCCATATTTTTAACCTCGCCCATCATGAAAATTATTTTTAATCTCTCAAGAAAATCTAATTTCTCTCATCAAAATTTCTCAAATGAGAGAAAATCTCTCACTAAAAATCCTGACCAGGATGATCCCTGTAAGTCTTATTTTTGAATACTGACAATTAAAAAAGCAACAACAAAAAAAACCCAAAAAAAACATTTGATCCAGATTTCTTACATTTTCCATGTGGATTTAACCAAGTGTAAATAATTAAAATCCTAAAGGCCAAATTTACCTTTACTATGCACCTTTTGGGATTTAACAGTTTAAAATAAGATTGTGGCAAATGCCCATGAAATTTTTTATCAATATTTGAAAATACTTGAAAGTGTGCCTATTGTAGAGTGTAGACCCATTCACTTTAAACCTTTTAAATGTATGTATTTAATGTATTTTATTTCAGTCACTGAACATGAACAACAGAATCAATGTTTGAAAGTTTAAGTCTGGTAGAGAAATCTGCTGTGTCGTTAGACAATGTTGAAGAAGATTATGTCTTAGATGTGGCTGCCACAAAGGTACATTGTATATAAATTATTGTAACAGGTTGATCTTAAGCATTAATGGTAGCTGTGACTAAGGGTGTAACGGTTTAACCGGTATACCGATATATTGCAATATGAAAAAATTAAATTTCGAACCGCGGTACGATTTTTGGAAAACCGGTATTTTATAAAAATCATCATTTTCAATTAATTGCCTTCTAATTTTGTACAAATTTCACATAAAATCTTTAATTGGCAAATTTTGTTGGCGCCAACGTAAGATAAAAGTATCCGACAACTAGTACACTTAAAAGTCAATAAGCGGCCGCATAATTTACATAAGCGGCCCATATGTGAAAGGTCACACACGACTAGTTTTTGTTTATCAAATTGTGTGACACTACTTTCTATTTATCAACATTTTTGTTAAGTTTCTACTAAAAATATATACATATATATAATAAATATATAAATGTTACTCCATCTTTACATCAAAACATATACACGACAATACGTATTGCAATATATTGCAATACGCTTCAGCAAAATGGCAATATATTGCAATACGGTTTTTGCTGTATTGTTACACCCCTAGCTGTGACTTTACCTATGACCGTCTTGGAGTAGATGAAAGCTAGTTTCCACCAGCCTTCATGAAGAATTGGTTTAACCTGTTGGTTTGAATGGTTTCCATTATCAATATTCCTCACTAAGGTCATACCTATCTCGGTACCACAATAGTTTTGCTAGCTTGACTATTCTAAGAATAGGGAGAGCCATTGTACCTCCCCTGCATCGGGACAGAGTCACATTGTTCTTGGCCGATAAATGACCCTTATTGATTTTGAGGTCATTAGGTCAAAGGCCAATTGATATATAACTAGAAACTTAAATTTCAGTTTCCTGCTTTCATTTTAAAAAGAATTAAATTCTACTGAAATGTTGAAATATATATTCTTATGAAATGTGCATGTTGGTCAATTTCTTTTGCCATCAGTTAATGTGTTTAGTGGCTGCATGGCCAAATGGATAACGCGTGTGACTAGTACTATAATGATAACATGCTGTGTGGGATCAAACCCTGTCAGGGGCAATCGGTTGTTTTCATGAGCAAGAAATTTACCACTCATTGCTTAGTACTGGTTGGTTGTAGGAATGGATTCAAGAGTGTTTCAAATTTCCACACAATCAAACTAAAATGAATTAGTATAAACTTTTTACATGAATTGTCAAGAGCATCAAACTTCACAGAAAGGTTGAATTCTAATAAACTCACATAAAGTTTTATTATTAAGCATAATCAATGAAAATTTCTTGTCCATTTCATGAAACAGTGGAGATGGTGATTATATAGCAGCTACCAACCAAAAAATCATAAATAAAAGGTTTTCTCAAAAGGGCCAAACTTGCTTTAATGTAGGGGGGAATTTGAAGGGAAAAGTACAATTTATTACCCTGCTTAAAAACCCTTTTTAGTTTGCCAAATAAAAAAAATATTTTGATAACCCTTTACAGTGAAAAATTTTAAAATATCAGTAGTTTTGGGCTTTTTTTTAATGTGGATGAAAAACAAAATTAATATTACCCCCCCAACCCAAATACCCTTTTCCACAGTAAAAGTGCTTTATTACCAAATCACCCCCAATTGGGGACATATCAATTTTTAAGAATGAAAAAAAATTTTTTGAAATTTTACATGATAAGTAATTTTTTTAAAGAGAAAAATGTGATTCATTTATTTGATGATGTCATGAATTTAGGAGTTTTAATTTTTTTACGGCAAAAATTTGTAAAAATGACTGAAAACCATGGAATAATAGAGAAAAAATTGTTACTTAAGTATGTAAGAATAAAATATATTTCACTTATGAGCACCAGCTCTTATATTTTCAAAAAAGTATTACACCTGGTGTTCAATCTGTGAAAAATACATATTTCAGACTTATAATATATAGCATGTAAAATTCAATATTTGATTTAATCAACCCATAACCTGTTGAATATATTAAGTTGACTTGTCCAGAGTCGATTTTTTTAACTGTTTAATATAAATTTTGTTGATATCAAGATGAAAAATTTGAGTTTGGTCCGTCAACAGTATAGATCTTAGTCATGTTGTATGGATGTGCAAGATGTGCTGGCTCTATACTGGTGCCAAAGGCTAATCAATTTTGATTCCAGCAGGTCAAGGGTTGATGCTTATTATATATATTATATACATGTGTATATATGAATGTTTTGTATTTTATATACATGTAGGTCATTCTGATACTATAAGTGGGATAAGCTGGGGAAAGACAGAGCCTCACCTACTTTATTCATCATCGAAAGATAAAACTATTAGGTATATCTCATTATTAAAGTGACATTTTTGCTCATCCAGTTTGTGAACAGGTGAAAGTCAAAATATGTTTACATTTTGCCATAATTCCTTTCAATTTTTTTAACTTACTTGGCATGAATGATAAATAACTCGCGTTTAATATCAGTCATAAACAATTTGTTTTACTTTTTCAACGCCTAGTTACTATATTTACTGTGATATAATTATTTCCCGTCAGTTCTGTAGGTTCAAATATCAAAAATGTGAAAATAGACCAACTAAAATAATTTGGTATAAACTAAACTAAAATGGGCCAACAAAGAGAGGTCTCTTCTGAAATAAAAACCAAATATCCTGTATAGATTTTTATTGACAAGGAAAAAATCAACAAGTCATAATGTGATGTTATTTATTTAATTTACCAAGTTATGGTCAAAATAGGTAGAGATGATATTTTATTTTGTGAACATAATGGTCAAATACTATTTTTAGAGCTACACATATGTTCTTTTGAAATTTTTGTGTATACCAGTAGACTGAATAATTTTTGGCAACTTGGTTTTCATTGAAGGTATTATTTCGATAACAATTTCAGATGTTGGGATACAAGAACTAAATTATCAAAAGAAGTTCAGAAATTCAGAGGTAGGTCACTTTTTATGTATCATCACATTCTATGTCAGGCATTATAAAGTTTAGCTCAACAAAAAAGAAAAAATTAATTCTACTCACCCTGGTGCTAGCATATGAATCCATGACATGACACCTAGATTAAGTGATAAGGACTATCCCACTTTTTCACTAGACCCATTGTGGTATTTGCTTGAAACTTTGAAAACTTTCCTAAGACCATCATCTCCATTATTAATTTAAATAAACAAATGTATTTTCCTATGTTTTGCCCTTTTTTGATCAGGTTTTGCAATTTTGATCCTGGTTATTAGATTGGTCTATGATGGCATGCAATAGACAGGCAGGCATCTAACAAGATGCTTTGCTGTCAATAACTAAAGTTAGATTGACTTATCGTAATCAAACTTGCTGTATGGAAAGTTTATGTGAAGACTTTGCCTGGGATTGCTTTTGGGCCACCTAGGGTCAAGGTCACTGTTACTAAAAGTAGAAAAACAGTTTCCTTTCAATAACTAGTTAGGAATAGAATATTTCAATGAAATTTGGTGTGTTGCAAGCTTATGTGAAGACCTCACTTAGGATTGCTTTTGGGCCATGTAGGATCAAGGTTGCTGTTACTAAAAATAGAAAATTTGGTATCCAGTCAATATTGAGGGTTTGAAATGAAACTTAGTGGTCGGTCACTTGCAGAGAAATTGGTTATTACAGAATAATTACACAGGAAAGCTGTTAAGTTGGTTCAACCACTGAAATATGAAAAAAAATGTGTTAAATCAAAATAAAAACCAGAAAAACATCAGTAAACTTATATCAATTAAACTCATCAATAATGAGGTGTCTTTTCTTGACAGTGGACCTAAAATTTTAAGAGAAACTACATGTATGTGTATCAAACAAAACTTAAAAAAATGTATTGACATTACGGTAAATGCAACATGTATCAGTCCTCTAAATTATATGATATATTGTTGATATATATTGTGTTGTATAGGATCTACTGAAACAGAGAATATGTTTACATGTATTGACATCAACGCTGATGATAGAGTTCTGTGTTCTGGCCAGGAAGCTGATAAGGAAGAAAATGCCTTCATTTTATTCTGGTAAATATGAACACTCCGAGTAGTCAGTAACAATAAGCTACTTCCCCTTAAAAACTGAATTTTTTTAAACCCTTTTTGACCTTTTCATTTAAAATACCCTTAAAGGGATTTGATCACCTTTATTGTGGACTAAAACCATTCATCATGTTTAAAGGGGGGAAATATTTCACAAGATATTTACTGACCTGAATGGGCAAACAGTGCAGAACAGGGATTTGAGATGGCAAAATCTTGGTCTGTTAACTCTGTTTGCATGGGTTTTGATTCATTTTTTGCTACCAGTTTGGCTTTAAAGGGCCCCTCAGTTTACCATTTTACATTATGTAACCTGATGACAGGCTGAAATTTGCTAAAGTGTTTTGTGTTATAAAGATAATACAGATAAAATAAATTCTGCCTTGATTGTTTGTACCATTTAACACCCTTGTTAATTTATGTTTAAATTAAAATGCTTTTTTTTGGTTCCTAATAATATCTTATTAAATCTTGACAAAATAGAAATATTTAATAATTTATGAACTACAAAATTTCCAAATAATTCATTCCTTTACTCCTCATCTTTCTATGTACACATTATAATGTGAGACGCATAACCCTCAAAACAAAAGCACTCTGGTCTAAAAATGACAATTTCCTATGTACAATGACTTTAAAAGTTTTATGTATACCTGCAGATTATGTATACCTGCACATGTATTTAAATGAAATACAAAATAAACCCAATGCTATAAATTTTTATACTTGTTTTTTCGGGGTTTTAAAAAGAAAAAGGGAAACTTCTGGGTTTGCATACAGTGAACCCCAAATCAAGATGATATTACCCGGGTTCGTTTGTTTTTTTTGGGGTTGGGTTTTAAGGGCATCCCTACTTTTATAAAGTTCATATAAAGGATTTTTTACAGTTTTTTAACCATGGGGGAGGAAGCCCTCAGGTCCTACTTTTGCATTATTCAGGCATGAACCTTGAGGGCACCGGGAAAAAAAATCACAGCCCTTTTCCATTATGGAAAAGTGGATAGTGTCCCCAAACTTGAAAGAATAAAGTCCCTTACAGGATTTGAAACACAAAATGTGAGGGGGAAGGGGGTTCCCAAAATCAAAAAACTTTAACCCCAGCCATGGGTTTTTCCCCCTATATTACCTGGGAAATTTATTTTTTTATTTAAAAATACTTAATTTTGTAAAATGATTTAAAAAAGGAAATTTCAGCATGATTTGACAATCCCTTTAGATAACTAGTCATCATGTTTGTAGTTATAAGTTGTTTCTTTGATCTTTTAAAAAAAATATCAAACTTTGAGGATTAAAAATTGACTGTAGTACACTGTCATTTGTTGGTATTACCTGACATGTTATTTTATTTTTATCCAACACAACAGTTATAAGCATACTAAAATGTATAGTACTTTGTTTGAAATTATTTATCTGTACAAAAATTAAATGCATCTATAATCATATTTTGTCTGTTTTTAGCTCACCTGTCACAAAGTGACAGGGTGAGCTTTTGTGATCGCTTTTCGTCCGGCGTCCGTCCGTCCATAAACTTTTACTTTAAATGACATCTCCTCATAAACCGCTGAGCCAATTTCATCCAAACTTCACAGGAATGTTCCTTTGGTGGTCACCTTTAAAAATTGTTCAAAGAATTTAATTCCATGCAGAACTCTGGTTGCCATGGCAACCAGAAGAAAAAACTTTAAATATCTTCTTTTAAAAAACCCAAAGACCTAGAGCTTATAACATCTTCTAGTGAGTGTCTACCAAGTTTGTTCAAATAAAAGCCCTGGGGTCAAAATTTGCCCCGCCCCAGGGGGTCATTGATTTTCCCTATATGCATATAGTAAAAACTTAAAAAATCTTCTTTTTAAGAATCCAAAGAGCTAGAGCTAAGATATTTAGCATGAAACATCTTCTCATGAGTGTCTACCAAGTTTGTTCAAATAAAAGCCCTGGGGTCAAAATTGGCCCCGCCCCAGGGGGTCATTGATTTTCGCTTTATGCATATAGTAAAAACTTAAAAAATCTTCTTTTAAAGAACTCAAAGAGCTAGAGCTAAGATATTTAGCATGAAACATGTTCTAATAGGTGTCTACCAAGTTTGTTCAAATAAAAGCCCTGGGGTCAATATTGGCCCCGCCCCGGGGGTCATTGATTTTCCTTATATGTGTATAACAAAAACTTAAAAAATCTTCTTTGAAAAAACCCAAATAGCTAGAGTTTACATATTAAGCATGAAACATCTTCTAGTGAGTGTCTATAAAGTTTGTTCAAATAAAAGCCCTGGGGTCAAAATTGGCCCCGCCCTGGGGGGGGGGTCATTGATTTTTACTTATATGTGTATAGCAAAAACTTAAAAATCTTCTTTGAAAAAACCCAAATAGCTACTGTTTAGATAATAAGCATTAAAGATCTTCTACTAAGTGTCTACAAAGCTTGTTCAAATAAAAGCCCTGGGGTTAAAACTGGCCCCGCCCCAGGGGTGTCATTGTTTTTAACTATATGTGTATAGTAAAATATTAAAAAATCTTCTTTTGAAAAACCCAATGAGCTAGAGCTTAGATGTTAAGCATGAAACATCTTCTTATGGATGTCTTAACAAGTTTGTTCAAATAAAAGCCCTTTGGGTTAAATTGGCCCTGCCGGGGGCGGGGGAGGTCATTGTTTTTCATTATATGTGTGTAATAAAAACTTAACATTATGAAACATCTTCTAATGGGTGTCTTCCAAGTTTGTTCAAATAAAAGTCCTGGGGTTTAAACTGGCCCCGCTCCCGGGGGCCTATATACTGGTGAGCGACCTCAGGGCCATCATGGCCCTCTTGTTGAATATTTTAAGTGTTAAAATGATTGTTCAGTGAGTATTGAATTGTTCAATGAGTATTGAATTCAATTCTACTCACCCTGTTGCATTGTCAATTGTTTTCTGTATATCTCTTGGTGAAAACAGAACTGATCAATACAGAAAGACAATTGAAAATCTGTGGAAAGAGAAGTTGAGAACATATCAACCTTTAGAAGTAAACACTAAAGAATAAAGCTGCAGACGGAATGCCTCAGTGGTCATTTCTCAGTGATGTTACATCACTTCCTTTGTTTTGTTTGAATAATCATGTATTTGTATGTATAATAAATGCTGCTGAAGAAGCCCGAAAGCTACATGTTGAATTTGAATAAGTGTTTTTAACTATAAGTAGCAAATTAGAGATTTTACTTGTCTGTATATAGATATATTTATTTAATTTTGTAGGTATGTTTTCACCCCAGTAATGCTAACAGTCTAGCTACGGGATCTATGGATGGCCTGGCATGTTTATTTGATATATCAGAAACTGATGAAGACGAAGCTCTATCTTACACATGGAACACTTGCTCTACTGTGGCTAAACTTGGCTGGTGTGGGGAGAACTTTAACAATGTTTATTGTACAACACATATAGATACCTTACATGTCTGGGATTCCATAGAGGTAAATATCTTTAAAGCCTTACTATTTTGAACTTGTTTTATTGTTTAAAAGTATGTCTCTATTATTTTGGTAAAAAAAAGTTCATTATATTGAAAATATAAGTTATATTATTGATTTAATTTACAGGAATTTTTCTCTTCAGGCAAATAATTTTTGCCTGTTTGTCTGTTTGTAATGTCCATTAGAACTAATTGTGTTTATTATTTCTTGTGAAGGTAATAATATTGAAGTTAACAATCTTTATAGGACTGATATTTTACTTGTAATGTTGTTATGCTTGATTTGAGCTGTGTCCTTGACAGTGATAGCATTATGCAAGCAAATTATGCAGTTGGTTTGATAATACATATCAGATGGCCAGTCTTTCATAAGGCAGTTTGTAAAGTTTTAAATGTCTTGTAAATGGATACTACTGTCAATGTATTATATATTTTAGCACTATAAAGCTGGAGTTATTTTTTTTATCCATATGCTGCTGGATTTTTGTTATGGATTGGCCTTGCTTTTAATTTGGAACAGTCCATTTAAGATTAAAGATATCAAAATAAAAAGATTGATCATTTGCCAGGCTGGCCTGGCTCTACACTGGTAGCAAAGGCTAATCAATAATGGACATTTATATTTCTATAGTTAAAACCAACAATTTTATCTTGGGTTAGAATATATTCAGCTGGGTTTTGAAGGTAGTTGTTTCTACTCAAATGCCTGATTGATTCACCAGTCAGCTCTACAAGTCCCCTATGACCTTTTTGCATAATGACCTAGAGTATTAAATTTTAAGCCTAGCAGTAACTTTCATTATTAACAGTGTACTAATATCAGGTAAATTGTAGATGTGCTAGATACAAATTTCCAAACTCATGCAAAGAAAAGTAACTCTTACTAAGTATTTAAATGATGATAATTTGATTTGCCTCCCTTGTCACACAGTATTTGTATTTTTTGTAGGGAGATCCTGTTTTAGAAGTTACAGATTTAAAAGATGTTCTTAAGGTAAGATCTTCAAGTAATTAATTATTTCATATATTATTAGCCTGTCTGTTTTGAAGAAAAGTCAGGCTATTATAATTGCTGCAGCTTTGTTGTTGACATTGTTGTTGTGCAAAAACTTTACTGTTGCCCATTATTCAAACATTTGAAAGTTATCAATATGAAACTTGGAATACTTGTTAATCATGACATGTTGCAGTTGTGAGACAAGGGGCATAATTCTGAAAGCTATATTTTTGGAGTTAAGCCCTTTTTAGCTCACCTGTCACAAAGTGACAGGGTGAGCTTTTGTGACCGCCTTTCGTCCGGCGTCCGTCCGTCGTCCGTCCGTCGTCCGTAAACTTTTACTTTAAATGACATCTTCTCATAAACCACTAAGCCAATTTCATCCAAACTTCACAGGAATGTTCCTTTGGTGGTCACCTTTGAAAATTGTTCAAAGAATTTAATTCCATGCAGAACTCTGGTTGCCATGGCAACCAAAAGAAAAAACTTTAAATATCTTCTTCTAAAAAACCCAAAGAGCTAGAGCTTAGATATTTGGCATGAAACATCTTCTAGTGAGTGTCTACCAAGTTTGTTCAAATAAAAGCCCTGGGGTCAAAATTGGCCCTGCCCCAGGGGTCATTGATTTTCCCTATATGCAATTAGTAAAAACTTAAAAATTCTTCTTTTAAAGAACTCAAAGAGCTAGAGCTAAGATATTTAGCATGAAACATCCTCTAATGGGTGTCTACCAAGTTTGTTCAAATAAAAGCCCTTGGGTCAAAATTGGCCCTGCCCCAGGGGGTCATTGATTTTCCCTATATGCATATAGTAAAAACTTATAAAATCTTCTTTTAAAGAACCCAAAAAGCTAGAGCTAAGATATTTAGCGTGAAACATCCTCTAATGGGTGTCTACCAAGTTTGTTCAAATAAAAGCCCTGGGGTCAAAATTGGCCCCGCCCCAAGGGGTCATTGATTTTCCCTATATGCATATTGTAAAAACTTATAAAATCTTCTTTTAAAGAACCCAAAGAGCTACAGCTAAGATATTTAGCATGAAACATTCTCTTATGGGTGTCTACCAAGTTTGTTCAAATAAAAGCCCTGGGGTCAAAATTGGCCCCGCCCCAGGGGGTCATTGATTTTCCCTATATGCATATAGTAAAAACTTATATAATCTTCTTTTAAAGAACCCAAAGAGCTAGAGGTAAGATATTTAGCATGAAACATCCTCTAATGGGTGTCTACCAAGTTTGTTCAAATAAAAGCCCTGGGGTAAAAATTGGCCCCGCCCCAGGGGGTCATTGATTTTCCCTATATGCATATAGTAAAAAATTAAAAAATCTTCTTTTAAAGAACCCAAAGAGCTAGAGCTAAGATATTTAGCATGAAACATGTTCTAATGGATGTCTACCAAGTTTGTTCAAATAAGAGCCCTGGGGTCAAAATTGGCCCCACCCCAGGGGGTCATTTATTTTCCTTATATGTGTAAAGCAAAAACTTAAAAAATCTTCTTTGAAAAAAAACCAAATAGCTAGAGTTTAGATACTAAGCATGAAACATCTTCTAGTGAGTGTCTACTAAGTTTGTTCTTTTAAAGGCCCTGGGGTCAAAATTGGCCCCGCCTAGGGGGTCATTTATTTTCCTTATATGTTTAGAGCAAAAACTTAAAAATCTTCTTTGAAAAAACTCAAATAGCTAGAGTTTAGATATTAAGCATGTAGCATCTTCTAGTGAGTGTCTACAAAGTTTGTTGAAATGAAAGCCCTGGGGTCAAAATTGGCCCCTCCCCGGGGGACATTGATTTTCCATATATGTGTATAGCAAAAACTTTAAAATCTTCTTTGAAAAAACCCGAATAGCTAGAGTTTAGATATTAAGCATGAAACATTTTCTAGTAAGTGTCTACAAAGATTGTTCAAATAAAAGCCCTTGGGTCAAAACTGGCCCTGCCCCAGGTGTGTCATTGTTTTTAACTATATGTGTAAAGAAAAAACTTGACCAGCTAGACCTTAGATGTTTAGCATGAAACATCTTCTAATGGGTGTCTACCAAGTTTGTTCAAATAAAAGCCTTGGGATTTAAACTGGCCCCGCTCCGGGGGCCTATATACAGGTGAGCGACTTCAGGGCCATCATGGCCCTCTTGTTTAACTTTTGTTAATTTTTGTCAAAATTATTGATACATGTAGTTGTTGCCCTTGACTGAGTGTTAATATAGCATGCAGTTGTGTTCAACTTAATATCTAGGGTCACACACACTGACATAAAAACAACATTACTTAAAAACATTAAACCATACTTTTTTTTCAACAGAAAACTTAAATTAATTATATCCAATTTAAAAAACAAATCGAGTAAATTCTGCTGTTAAATTTTGAAAATCAGCTCCGATTTAGAATGGCAGTGTGATCCTTGAATAATTTTTAGTTTTAGTTTTTCTGTTAAAAAAAAAAAAAGAACTATTACGTATGATCACTGCGTCCTTATTGTCATTGTGCACAAACTTTAATGTAGCCCATTATTTGAACATTTCAAAAATCATCAACATGAAACTTTGGAGTTACGCGTGTAAGTTATGCTTGTAAGCTTTGCTTGTAAGTTATGCTTGTAAGTTATGCTTGTAAGTTATGCTTGTAAGCTAAGCTTGTAAGTTATGCTTGTAAGTTATGCTTGTAAGTTATGCTTGTAAGCTAAGCTTGTAAGTTATGCTTGTAAGCTATGCTTGTAAGTTACGCGTGTAAGTTACGCGTGTAAGTTATGCATTGTAAGCTATGCTTGTAAGTTATGCTTGTAAGTTATGCTTGTAAGCTAAGCTTGTAAGTTATGCAAAAAGTTGTAATTTTAGCAGATGAGCGTGAGAACACTGCATACGATGCTCTTCTTAATATAATACTGGTATATGACAAAGCAATATGGTATAAATGAGTCAAGATTTTTATTCTAATGTATTTTCATGTATTTGATATAATAATGTGAGGGCCTTCGTGACTAAATGGTTAAGGTTGTTGACTTAAAACCACTTTCCCCTCACCACAAGGGACTTTAGATTCTTTTATGTAAAGTTGGGGGTCTACTCGGTTTTAATGGGGGGGCATAGGTTTTTTCTCACCATGCTGGAAGGGAAAATGCCTTTCATGTTAAATGGACAACAAAACCCAACCAATACTGTTACATTCACTCATTGTCCGCTCTAAAATGTGTCTCTCTTCGTAGTGCTTTTAAACTGGCTATAATGTAGCTTCTTTATCTGTAAGGGACAAGCCAGTATTTTTTCTTTTCAATTTTCAATTGTTTCCTGTTTTCCAGAATTATTGTTTCTTTGATGGTTGCCTGTGAAATAAGCAACAGATTCGCCATTTCTTTAATTTAATTCCATGATCATATAGATTTGCTTTGAAGTTTTTCCAGTAAGGGACTAAGTTGTTTTCTGACCATTGTTGCAAAGCTTTTCATTTTTTCTATATTTTGCACAACAAAATGATTATGTATTCTGGAAAAACGGGTTGAGAGAATAATCCGAAAATTTGCACACAAGTTATTTATTAAAACCTCCATTGAATGGTACACAAAACTTGAAAAATATTTCCAGTTCCGTCATGTAATTTCAATTAGAGCGGCATCAGTACTTATAGTGTAGTACTTAAGTAGTAGAACCAGTACTTGCAAGATATGAAGTACCATTACCAGTACCAGCACTAGATTTTGCAGCTCTGATTCCAAAATCTACAAAATACCGCACCACTGCTGCACAATGCATTCTTTGGACACTTAGACTTGAACAATATAAATATCTTAAAAACTTTTGCATGTTTTTTTTTTTGGACATCTACAAATGTTTTAAAAATTTTGCAGCTTGGGTCACTAAAAGCAACCTTAACACTGGCTTTTGCATTAAAGAATTGTGACCCTTTCTAGCAATGTATATTAGGTGAACTATCCAGGGTTATCATGGCCTTCTTGTTTTGTTCCCGATTAACCTTATTTTAGAACTCAAAGAAAGTTTTTTTTAGAAATGCAGAATGAATGCAGTCTCCAATGCACTTAAGATTTTCTAGAACTTAATTTTAAAACATATGTAAACAAAAGAAGTCTGGCTGTCCATGGATCATAAGTTACACTACTGACAAGCATATGGCATGCACTTTATCTTTGTATATCCCTTCAGTAAGAATATGTAACATTTGAGTATTAACAAAGCAAAATAAGTTAAAGACAAATCTTTTACTCTTGAATTTTGAACATAGTAAAAAGCATTTATTAACCAAGTTTACAAATTTTAAAAAGCCTGGTGGTTAGAATGGCGAATGGCAGACGAGCAGGCAGTTGGTCAGGTGGGTGAGCAGTTGGGCGTGAAACAATTGTTTTCTTGTCGATATTATTAAAAAATTGTAATCAAACTTGTTATACAACAGCAGCCTGGTTTCAAGGCATTGCCTTATTTCTTGTTTAATCCATTTATGTTGGGTCACTTGACATCTACCTCCAGTTTTATATCAAAAAAGAAAGAGAGTATTATTATGCAATCTTTTTACCAGCTGGTCAGACTTTTCAAAACTACCATACTTATTTCACATAAGTGTGTGGTAAAATTGATTTTTCAATATCAAACAAAATTGAAAGAATAGTCTCAAGTAAAAGAAAAAAATCAACAACAAAAACTTGTTATTGAAAAGATATGTACATGCCGATATAGTGTAGAACTTAAATAAACAAAAATTACCGCATATTCAATATTTTGATATTTATTCAATATAAGGTGATTTAATGTATGCCATATTTTGACACAATTTTACATTGCATTTCAAAAGATAAGAAACTTTGATGACATTTAAGTTATCGTGCACTTGAAATGGCAATTATTTCCATATCAATGTCTTTAGTGCCGTATTTCCGTTAATTGTCAACTAAATCATTTTTCTTTCTCTTGCTTACGTCACTTTACAAACCGAATACAATCTAATACATCGGGTGGGGGTTGTTATCAACCTTGAATTCTGCATAAATTGAATAGTTT